AAACTAGCAGCAGAGTTAGGATTCGAGTTAGGATTCGAGTTTTGGGATTCGAGTTTTGGGATTCGAGTTTTGGGATTCGATTTAATAAGTAATAATTCAATAAGTAATAATAATTTAACAAGTATTTAATTTTTTTATTCATTAAAAGCACACAAAGTTTAATAATTTTGAAATCAAAATAACTATCATAAAAATCATAATTTAACTATCATAAAAACTATCAAAATGTAAGACTGCCGGAACCAGCAATGCTTGTTTCTAATTAAAACATCAACAGATATCATCTGGTCTCTCATAGAAGAGCATAAATACGTACCAGACGTGCATTTCTTTCGGAAAGAAGAACACTTTCAATAATAACGTATATTATAAAAAAGTATAAAAAGAAAAAATATATATTTAAAAGAAATGACATGTTACATTGTAATTGTATAAATCAGACTAATTACTGTAATAGGCCCTTTGCAGCTGGGGGTCACGTTACCACACCTACCTTAAAAGTAGGGCATACGTTTTAAACTCCAAGTCAGATACCCTTAAACCAATTTTCTTCAAATTTCGTAGCATTGTTTACAGATAGTTAAGCAACAAAACTATGTCTGGGATTTTGATAAGTCGTCTTTTTTCAAAAGTTATTCAAGGTTCTTTAAAGAACTTGACATCATTTTGCGTTCCTAAACTTTATTACAACATTAAATCAAAACAAGAGCGCGTATAAAAAATCGCAGACACAAKKTTTGAGAMAAATATGYGAACAAAAGAACAGCGCTTAAATTGAATTTTTTCCGATAATTCTTTCAGACTTGGAGTTCGTTTTATACAGGTATGTAGTTTCAGATAATGGAGCTAATAACTCTAAAACGTAATTTTAAATGCATTTCAAACACTTATAGGCATAAACTACAATTACTAAGCTTTCAGAAAATATATACTTTGTGAACATTTGCGAAACAACAAGAACGTTATAGTCGATGACGCAAGTAGGGGTCGCGTGGGTACGCTGATACTTTAAGGCATCCCGTTTGAAAGAAGTGAACATGTAAAATCATATTCCATGAGGACCATAACTTCACTTTTAACATCACAGTGGAGTTTCAATCGAGAAAGCTCATCTTTGACCAATTTGCATCCATCATAGTTTGAACAACAGCTATGATAAAAATCAAAACTAAATTCCTGGCTTTCCACACTCCGAGCTGCAGTATGCAGTTGGCGAAGAAAATGTTTCCTGCAAAGGTCGGCTTCATTGGTGTAGATATAGCAAAGCCATAACTCCGTGGCAACTCTTTTCGACAACATACCTTGAGTAAAGGACTTTGGAAATTTCCCTTGGAGAAACTCTTGCAAAGACACATCGACAAACAATTTTTCTACTTTACTCGCGACTAAGTGTGCATCATCGGGAACTTTATGCGGAAAGCTTTTACCTGCCATGACGACACTATGAGGTCCAATGAGATTGGACAGTTTTTTGTTCCTGTAGAATTCCAGTGCATTTTTTTTGTCCAAAATAGACAGCCCATAATCAAATTCTGGACACATTTGAGCAAGTACATCAGATGGTATGTTTCGAATAGAGTGTATTTTTAGTTCTATGATGGGCTTAAAATGTTTGTTTCTAAACATGACAAAGGCAGCGGAATATTTCAAACACACAATCATATTTCTCGTTACTTGAGGAAATTTGTTACGAACACTTGCTAGAACAGCATCGTTTATTTGGTAACTTAGTCTTCTGCCACGATATTTTGGATGAATTCTCAGTGCTTGAGTAACAAACGACTGTTCATTCTCTGCGATGGTTGCAACTTGTAATCCAATA